GGCCGACCCCGTTTCGGGGAGGAAGGCTGACCCTCGTCCCCCGTCTCTCAGCCTCTCCTCAGCTTAAGGAACGAGTGGCGTTCTCCATTTCCCCAGCGGTCCCTGCAGCTCCTCCATCAGTTAGATATGATTTGTGCTTTGGTGTCACGCTACATTATTTTACATTTTATAGCAGCAGTTCCCTTAATGGAGCCCAACGTCATCAGCATCCGTCTGAACTCTAGCCATGAAGCGTAAACACAACTTGGTGACTTCAGAGTTGTTGGGGTTTTTTTCTCCCTATGGTTAAGTGTTCATTTCCTCACTAATTCACTCATTAACAAGATGAAGTGCATTCATCCAGAAAGAAATTCACCCTTGCCAGGTACCGTTCCCTTTTAGCAGTCTTTTAGGTGTAATTTGTCCCAGCTGTATGTAGAGAATTTGCATAGACCAGTGTAATTTCTTTTCTGGTTACACATTAAAAAACAATTTTCTTCCATCTCCCTGGGGACTTTGCAGGAAAAACAGAAGGGAATTGTAATGGTCTGAACAAGTGACGCAGACTTAAATCTTTTACAGAGTTATAAGCAGTTTGCTCCAGCACAGAGCTAGGACAAACTTCCAGGGTTTTGGTTGGGTTTTTTTTTCCTTTTTCCTAAAATATTGTAAGATATTAAAATGGTTGGAGATAGAAAATCAACACTTTTCATGAAACAGTGAAGAGATTTGTACTGTCTGGCATGCATGTCAGATTGTTTCTCCGTCTCAGTTAACTTGGGCAAGGAACGAAACAGACAAAACCTGTTAAATATTGGTGTGCCCAGCGCTCACTGACATGCACTCATAGAAAGCCACGAACACGCTTATCCCAGTAAAAGGAAAACCTAGGCTTAAAAACCAGCTAAGAATAGCAAGAGTAAATAGTTGGCTTAAGAGGCCTAAAGCTGTCAGTTGTGCAGCACTGTGTGCTGCTCCACAGAAAAATCCATTTTGGAAAAAAAAAATATTTCTAAGTGCCAGCTCTATGCCCCTCTGCAGCATCAGCTGGCTGCTGCTTTCCGCTTGGACATGCAGCTCGTGGTTTGACATAGCTGTCTCTCAGGAGGCGCAGCTGAGAGAGGTGCTGTTAGGATACAGCTGACACGGCATCCACCTGCGAAGGCTCCAAAGTACCTGGGATTTGTTTGAGCTGTGTCTTGCCTGAAGCTTCCCTTGTCACATGCTTCAGCTTCCCTTTCCAGCTTCCTTCTCGCCAGTGCTGCCTTGGCCAGGCCAGTGTCAGTGCCGCCTGATGGTTTGGCGTTCCAGCCAAATCCAAATTTGCCTCTTTCTGCCCTCTCTAACCTGTGTTAAAATCTTAGGATTTAATAGGTGATTTCCTTGTGCAGACAGCCTGAAAGTTAATGTGTATCTGGTTGCTGACTCATTAAGGGAAGAGAGATGAAATACGCATAGTACAAACACTGCAGATCAACCCCCATATCAGTGAGTCCTTCCCGCTTCCCGGCTCTCTGCTCTCATCTCGGGGCATTTATTCAGCACTTCAGTGCAATCTAGAGAATAGCCTATGCCCCTCTATGCGTGCTCTTGCCGGGAATAAGCTCTGGGGCAATGAATCACATGGCATTCACTTACTTGAAACCTCTTGAGGTATTTTTTTAACGAACACTGTCCGTATGCCTTTTCTTCCTCCTTAAGCTCTTTCCGGACCTCTTCCCTGAGCCACTTATGGAGAGCTCTCTACTACCCTTTCCCATCTGTGGGCTTCGGCAGGAGAATACTGTCTCTCCTCCTTGCAAGTCACTGACACGGGACAGCCTCTACCTCCTCCGCAAGCCCCTCCTCTGTCTGGGATGCAGACAACTCTGGTAGGACTTGAGCCGCGTAACACAGAGGCCTCCTGCACTCTGTGTTGGACTGGTCGGGGTGAACTCATGCCATTCCTGTTAGCTGAACAAGAGTTAGGGTAATCCTAAGGAGAGCAAGCAAGGTCTAGGTCTGAGCCAGGATCAACTGCAAAAACGGGGGTAACATCTAACTGGAAGGCAGTTTCTGTTACGGACTGTGCAGAAGGGGAAACACGCTGCTGCAAGGGTTCAGAAAGCTCCAGAAAGTGTGAACTTCCCCAAAATATCTTGGAAAACAGTATTGGGAACTAGAGAAGGCTCTACTTAGAGTATGCATTCAACATATTTCCACAGAAGTAATGCCTCCCCTGCTTCGCCCCCAAGTAGGCAGCAGCTCCATGGGGACAAGGGGCGAGCTCCAGAGAGCTCCGACTGGAAGCAGCCTAAGTTTGATTCTCTTCCTCCAGACTTTCTGGTCATGGCATTTTGCACGTATTTATGATACTCAGACAAGGCTATGTGCTGATGGCAAACCCCTACCGCTTAGGGATATTTATGATATTTCCTTCCTTTAGGGGAGCATTATGAACTTGCCCATAACACGAACCTCCAGGTTTTTCTGCAGGTCATGGCATCTCCAAGCTGCAGGCATGACTGCAACTACCTCCCTCTGCTTGTACCCACATGAGACTGCACGGCAATTACAGCAAAAGTTTATACTGAAAGCTGCGCTAAGCAAGTATGAAGGCATTTTAACCGTCCCTGTTTAAACTCACGAATCAGCAGCAGAAGCAAGTGCCGTGTTCTTGCTCCCATCTGCAGGTGAGCAACAGGATTATAACCACAGCCCAAAGAACATACACAATTTAAAAAGAGAGCAAAAATTGTCTGCTGAGACAAAGGCAACAGCATCCAACCCAGTAACAGTAGGAAACCTACGTGCAGAATGGGCAAGAGCTTCACCCTTCATTTTTTCAAGTCCATTATTAACAGTCAGGAACCATTTCCCTATTTATCATCACTTATTACTACTACTAAGGCCAGATATAGTTCAACGCATAGATAGAAGCAGTGCCCATGCAGCTATGATCTGCAGCACAGGAGCTTCCTATAGCTGATCACCAGCTTGGGGAGATGCCAAAATTTAGAGCACAGCTCTACGAACTTACCAACACTTCTCTTTGAGTGGTTAATTCTGCTCTGTTTTTCTTGCTCAGTGAACTGGTCTCTGTTCTTACTTGCCTTTCTGTCATGTCGCCTCTGCATCTCCTCTCCAGAGTATCCCCCCAGCTGAATTTCTCTCCCCTGACTTCTTTTGCTGGGGGTAGAAAATGAGTCTCTACAGACTCAGCCTGTCTTCGCAGATCAACAAGCTGTGAAAGGATCTGGCTTCCTGTTTCATTTCCGTTAAAGTTTTCAAAGTCACACAGGCTGCGTACGCGTCTCCGTATCCAAGCCACAAGAAAAAAAATCAAACATAACTCAGCTATTTATAAAGGTCACATTGCTACCTACCTCCACATCTTCCAAGTTGTCTGAGGGCTGGAGATCGCAGGGTGATTTTCAAACTGCGATGTACCACCCGTACGTGGTCTCTGTCTTAGTGGTAGCCCTCGGAAAGTCACAGCCTCTTCTTTTCAACTCCAATGTCATGTTTGACTGCTAAGCATTTAACATTACTTATCATGCAATCAATGTGCTTTCTGTAGAAACGCTGTGACCATGAAGAGGAAACAGGTGGTCCACACAAGCACCCCTTCTCTATTAAGATACGGACTAAGTGCTATGTAAAAGCAAAGCTTACACAGATATGATTAAATCACTTCATAGATACAGGATTTTTGATAAGACTAAGCAAAGGGCCCTTCGAGAGATTCTTTCCTTTCCCCTCCTCACTCATCGTTTTAAGTTAAATGAGACCAGTGGTTTCCCTACAGTCTAAGGCTACTAATTGCTTCTTAATTACACTGTAGGAAGATATATCCCGATGCTGTAGCTTACGAGTTCACTAAATCCAGTCTCCCGCTCTGAAAATACCCACAAGTTCTTATTTCAGAGGCGGAAGCAACCATTTGCCCGGCCAGATTCCTCTTCTGTTGACTGTTGCTCCACATTACAGATGGATTTAAAAAAAAATTGCTGGAGCTCGAATGGTCACTGACTCACATTTTCCCTTTCACTGGAATGTTGATTTCCCTGTCTACATCTTTTATTACACTATTTTTGTTAAATTATTTTTAAAATGCTGTTTCTCCATTATCATCCTTGGATCAGGAGCATTTGCTTAAAACAATAAAGGAAATTTGGAAAAATGGGGTTGGGGCATAACCTAAATATTGTTTGTTGGCATCTCAGGAGCTGAAGGTGAAATATGCTCTCTCTGCTCTAGTCCAAGGCTTGGGGCCCATGACTGCAAGCCTGCAAACGCTTCTTATTTCACCATGTACTGTGGAGGAAGGAGGAAAGGAACAATAAAGAATTTTCTGTCTTTAAGCGCTCACTTGCTGCCTTTGAATGCTCTCATGTTACTCATGCTCCATGCCAGTAAGCATCCAAAGGCAGCAAGTGAACGCTTAAAGACAGAAAATATTTGTATTTGCACATATTTATATGTATATATGCATGTATTTCTTTGTGTTCAGTTTCCATTAGTAGAACAAGATAATTCTGAGAGGGGGAAAAACTGCGGGCTGCAGGACCAGCGCATCTCCAAGGGGAGATTTGGAAAGAAAACTAGTAGGAGAGAAGAAAGAAACACTGCACGTGCCCTCTTTTGCTTCACTTGCTCAGCACTGCTTTTTTAAATAAAGCAAAAAAGCAAGCTGTTGAGTTTAAATTATACAGTGAAAATTAACTGTCTTCACTGCACTGAATTCCCTTTCATATCTTAAATTCCTCTATCGTACTTCTTAATCCATTTTGTCCAGCCAGAAACAGTTCTGGATGTTTAGCACTGCCTACTCATCCTCTTTTCTTGGAGTTTCCACTCTCTCCAGCCCATATACCATATTTCTCAAACAAAGAATGGATGGTTCACCTGGATAAGTCTTTCATAACTCTTTAGGCTTTATCCAAGCAGGAAAAGCATGGATTATCTCACTTTCCTGCCATGCTGGGACATGAATGTTTACCTGAGCTCTGCATTTCTTCCATAGACCTGTGAGCATCTTCAGAGCATGATGAAAATGCTGGGACATCTGAACACTCTGTGTGGCAGGGATCTAGGAACTTGGAGTAGTTTTGGAAAGTGATGTTGTCTTTGCTCCAACAGGATCAGGCTATAGGCAAAAAAAAAGGCTCCAAAAGGGAAAAGAGGACAGACCAGGACCTTCTGCACCCCTTCCTTGCAGGAAAGCCTCAGCTAAGCTTTGGAACTGGACTAAGTCACAGGATAAATTCCACACAGACACACCCCGTGCCTTTTTTTTATTAGAAACAACTAAGAAGTTTATGCAGGGTCATGGGGAGAAGAGAAAGACAAACCTAAAATGGAAGATGACGAGTTTGGTGTGCTAGAGGCAGTGACCACCTGGGCTGATACAATCTGCAAAGTAAAACACAGCTATTCTTCGTAAGCAGCTAGTGTTTGCAAGCCTGCCTGTTTGCACTCTTTATCACATCCACAAGCTGACGAGGAAATTTCCTTTGTTCACCCCCATGCTTCTGTGGTGGGCGTTATCAGAGGGCCTCTCCTACCCGTGACATTCCCTTGTGGTTCTGTGAGATGTAGCAAATGAGGTCTGCATTTGACTTCACCACAGCTCAACACGCTTGTTTCCCTGCTCGCAAACAATAGGAGAGCTCTTCGTCTTCAGCGGCAGTTTGGAAACCCAAACATGACATGTCACAACATCATCCGGCTATCTGAAAGCTTTAACCACAGATGCTTTAGAGATGCAATGACTGCCTGCGTTTGTCCCAGAGTTGCTGGCAGTGTCATCTCTATTGCTGAGCTCTGGAGCCAACTTCTTCCTTTCTTTCTGCTTTCTCCCTGTCGGAAACAGAGTGGAGTTCCAGAGACAAATATCCCCAACTTCCCATTGCATGCAGTCACTTTTGTTCTGCTGTAACAAGTTATGCTACCCTCTTGTCTGTTAGCTGGAAGAAAATCATCCTTTTAGGAACAATTACCCTTATTGGTGGCAACTTTCTGCTGCAGCCAAGAGGTTGGGGGCAGGAGAGGTGCTGTCCTACGCAGGTACACAACGGGTTCCTTTTCCTTCTGAAGACTAATAATGGGACTAGCACCAATACAATCTGCTTTCTGGACAGATTAGGATTTTGGAAGCATCAAGCAAGTTGTTAGTGCAGAGTTGCCTCCTGTGCCTGGGCTTGGGCACAGGAGACCAACATCTTTGGGAAAAGGAATCCCTGTCACAAAATCTGTGACGGGCCTTGCTTTTGGACAATTCTTTGTAAATCAGATACTTCATACTTGGAATAAGAGTCCATATTATGGCTTCTTTTTCTTTAGAAATCAAGATGCAGAGACTCAGAATTCAGCTGTTTCTCCTTTAGGCTGTAAGACGTTACTGCCAGAAGAAACAAGACACGGCCTACTGGTAGGCACTTGCCTTTTTTTTGTTTGTTTAGTGTCAGTGCCTGGCTTTACAACAGTGACTAAATATTTATGTTTCGCTGTCAAAAGTGCATAGCAGCAAATCAAAGTAAGCATTTTAAGACCTGGGTGCTGAGTGACTCACTGAGACTACAGATCCGAAAATCAGAGCACCCCCTTCCCTGGGCTTCTCTTCTGAAGGAAGAGGAGCGAGCCACTTTCTGCCACCTCTGCTAAGAACCGCCGCAGTCTTCAGTGATGGCTTATTTTGTACTGAAACAGCAAAACAGGATCACTAAGGGGAAGAAAAGAGCTCATTCTTTTCGGAGGAAGGAGTCACCCCAACCCAAAACATCAAATACCATCAGTGAAAAGAACAAACTTTCTTCAGAGGGAAACTTAGCAACAAGCAGGAAAATGAAACAGATGTAAAAACCAAGGCCAGAAAGAGAAAGCAGTAGCCTGTACACAAAGGAGCAACAGTGCTGATAGAAAAGTCACGGAAAGACAAGGGCTTGAGCATGTACATGCCCCTTTCATAATGCAGCTTATTGATCTAAATTACTTTTAGATTAATAGAAACAGTAACAGAAGATGTTCCTTTCTGAAAGACGCTTTGTGCAGCTGATAGTTTGCTTATTCTGGTTTGCAAAGATAAGCATCCCGGTTCTCTTTGCCACTTTCTTTCCTGCATCTCCTAACAGAATCACCGTCCGTGCTGACAGCTGAAATTAATATATGTGCTTCTTCATTTAGCAGTTCAAAACAACCTACTGCTAAGCTAATATACGCTATACTTGTCCATGTATTTCACAACACAGAAGAAAGGACAACATTAATTTCTTTTAATTAGGGTATGGGACAGGAATTCAGAGGTTGAATTTCTATTTTTGCAGTTGCCAAAATCTTATGCATCTTCAGCAAATCCTTTTACCACCTGTCAAAAAAGGGGAAAGGAAGTAAGAAGCTTTCTTCATCCGTAAAGCGAAGCTTGATGATTAAACTTGAGAGATGCTGAAAATACCGTGGTGACGGAGACTCTTCAGCTGAGTATACAGCCCCCGCTGTGATGACAAGCAGCACTCTCATCTCCCTTTGCAGTCAGTGACAATAAAGACAGAATTCTACTTGTGAGGGATGTTCAGCACCATCCTCACAAAGGGTTCAATGATTTCTTTTTCTGTAATTTTTTATGGATCTTACCCCTTTCGACATTCTACTATTTAGACTGCAAGTATTAGGATTCCTGCTTTTCTGGCAAGTAATTGACATACATTTTATTTTAAAAATAGCCCTTGTTGAGAATGTAAAAATGAAATTTCCTGGCTGTTCCCATATGGCTTCTTCTCAAATATATACGTACACACACGTTTCCCTCGACCCACCTTCCACCACAGAAATTTTGTCTCAGTGGCTTTGGATGTTTATAGGGTTTCCAGAGTTCCCATGGCCCTGCAAGAATTGTTGTTCCCTCAGCAGGTCAGTCATGCAGAGATCCCAGGTGCCACCCGTGGGTGTGCACAAAGCAGCCTGTGCAGCATAGCTCAGAAGGAGCTGGTCCATCCCCAGCAGGTTGGACTCCAAGCACATTTGCTACCAGTTACAGGAGGCAGGAGCTGGTGCTTCGTTTCAGCTTCTTGCATCCATTTTACAGAAGGAAGGTGTGGATTTTGCGTAGCACTAAAGAACAAAGCAGAAGTCTTCCTCCTGAGTTTGGGAGAAGGA